CAAAGGTAGAAAATAAAAATTTACAAACCATTTTTTTGAATTTTGAAGAAAACTTTGTTTGTTTTAGAGGATTTTTTTGCAGTGAATAGAAGAATAAATTAATTGCAAATTTGAGAAAAAATGGTGGAAGAAAGAAGATGAGGAAGAAGAATAAGGGAGGAAGAAAGGGTCCACCAAATGTGGGACCCACAGTGAATTTTAACAGTTTTTAAACTTTTCTGTTAGTTTCTAGGGCTAAAGACTAAAATGATACACTTTTTATATACATTAAGGACTATTTGGATAAGGTGATATATATAAAGGACCAAAATAAATTAACTCCTATACATGGAGGACCATTTTGATCATTTTCTCTTTTAGGCTGAATCATTTCTTGGATAGAATCTTAGGTGTACATTTTGTACTTCCAACAGTACTGTATATCACTTGGAGGCTGGAGCTTGAAGAAAAAAAAATGTTGCCACTAAAAAGAGCTGTTCTTTCATGGATTCTTGCAGTGAACTGCTTCATGTTGTTGAGTTTGGGTGACTCAACAAGAGTTGCCCAAGAAGAAGGTAAATTTTATAGCTTTTTTAAGTTTTAGTGGATGGGTTGTTGAGTGGGTGGTGGGTGCATGAAGGGTATATGGGATTTTGCTACGAAGTCAAATTTGTGCAAGAAATCAAGAATTATGAAATTTTGAACTTATTTCTTGTTCTTCCTCCTGTTCAGTTAAGATTCTTGAGAAAGATCAATTTTGAGTCTCTTACTAGAGGAAATGTGAAGAACATAAGGCTCTGATCAGTTAAATTTTTTTGTATTGTAGAAAAAAATGGAGCATGCTTACTTAAAAAGGCTTCCTTTATGATAGATTCTTACTTTAAGGCTGGAAATTTCAACTTACAAGAACAAAAGACTGGAAATTTAGACTTATAAGAACAAAAGACGGGAAATTTTAGTTATTTTGTTCTAGGAACTAATGGGAGGGGTCTTTCGGAAATAGCCTCTCTACATCCACGAGGTAGTGTTAAGGTATGCATAGATTCTAACTTTCCCAGACCTCACTTGTGGGAAATTTAGACTTACAAGAACAAAAGACTGGAAATTTAGACTTATAAGAACAAAAGACGGGAAATTTTAGTATTTTGTCTAGGAACTAATGGGAGGGTCTTTCGGAAATAGCCTCTCTACATCCACGAGGTAGTGTTAAGGTATGCATAGATTCTAACTTTCCCAGACCTCACTTGTGGGAAATTTAGACTTACAAGAACAAAAGACTGGAAATTTAGACTTATAAGAACAAAAGACGGGAAATTTTAGTATTTTGTCTAGGAACTAATGGGAGGGTCTTTCGGAAATAGCCTCTCTACATCCAAGAGGTACTGTTAAGGTATGCGTACATTCTACCTTCCCCAGACCTCACTTGTGGGATTTCATTGGGTATGTTGTTGTCTAGGAACTAATGCAATCTGGTGAAATAAGGTATTCAAATGATGCAGGGTTCTACACCATTTGCTAGGGGAAGTTTCTGCATCTTTGTACTCCAAAATGTTGAACCTATACTAAAAAGGGTATTTGGGGAGGGGGGAGGGGGTGGGGAGTTTCTGGCCAATTGATCCTCAATTCCAAAATGTGGGCAGGGGAGTGGAGCTTGCAGTGTTTTGAAACTTCTGATTTTGTTATGGTGATATATACTATTTAGAGGTTTTCTGCTTCCTGCACTCGTAAGATTTGCATCATTCGGCTAACAACCTGTTATTTGGCATATGCTTTGGTAATTTCTCAGTGGACATTATGGAACAAATCGCCACTACAATGGGAGCAACACACTGGAAATTCAATGGTGAATCGTGCCAGATTGAAGCAGTCAGGGTGACAACTGATCTGCCAAGTTGGTTTGAAACTGATGTTGTATGCAACTGCAGTATAGGAAATGATACTGCCTGCCACATAGTAGCTATGTAATTTTTCATCATCTTGCTCGACTCTGGTTATAGCACATTATGTGTTTGGAGAGCCAACATAGATAATTTGGAGAAAGTAGCTATTAAGTCCTAAGTTACTGATGTCTTGCCATTGCTGTTAGAGAACTCATACTAACCATGCTTTATTAAGTTGTATTAGCATTCCATTTCCTACATCTTTGCTACAACCTTAAAATTATATCCTTGGACAACTAAAAGGAACTAGATATAGGAGGAAGTTACAGATCAAGGGGAGCCAGGTGCACTAAGCTCCCATTATTTGTGTTTATGCAAGAGGTTGTTTCTGCAGCTTGAACTTGTGATCTCCTAGTTACACGTCAACTGCTTTGACATTGCTCCAAGGGAGGGTTCCCTGAAAAAAAGGGAGTTCCATTTTTGCCAAATATATAAGCTGTGCCTTCGCCAAAGATATGTTTTTATCTTTGTGGCTTGAGATTGTGTACAATATCATTATATATTTGATAAAATCTTAGGCTTCCTGAGATGTATGAAGAGCAAGTTGATGTCATTGACTATTTTCACTTTTGTGTGCAATATATTATATACCTTACCGCCCCCAAGGCCTAGCTCAAGTGGCAAAAGGTGGAGGATTTGTGGCTTAGGTCGCAGGTTCAAGCCCCACACCATGCAAAGCGAAGCCCGGTATTTAAGTGGAGAAGGGTAGAGGGGCGGGCCCATTATCCACCGAGTTTAGAAGGCTGTGATTGGTCCAAAGGGTGGGTCACAAACGGATTTCTCGGTTATCAAAAAAAAAATAAAAAAATATTATATACCTTACCATCTTAGAGTGGTTCCTATCAGTATTATGTGACTATAATTGGTTTCATTTTCTAAACAAGAATAGGATATCTATTCATAATATTTAGATAAACTAATTACATTGTTGACTCTTGAAATTACTTATGCAGCACTCTTAAGGGTATAAATCTTCCTGGCGTTCTTCCACCTGAACTGGTAAAGCTTCCTTACATTCAAAAAGTGTAAGAATCTTTTGAATGCTATTGTCACATTTGCTTTTATTTCCCATATAATCAAATTCATCGTTCAAATTTTGATAAGCATAATTAACTGAATTCACATATTCTCAATTTTCAGTGATTTTGCATACAATTACCTCAGTGGTAGTATACCAACTGAATGGGCGTCAACCCAGTTAAATTCCATGTAAGCCCCATTTAATATATTGTTAAAACAGCTGTTATGAAGGTTGTTAATCATCAATTGTAACTGCAAATTTTTTGATCCAGCTCTGTTCTTGTGAACCGGTTGTCAGGGGTTATACCGAAGGAACTGGGAAACATTACCAGCCTTACCTATATGTATGTATCAAATTTTGATTATCTAATCTGATTTCTCATCTTCATTTCTTATGTAGCTGTTTGGACACCTTTTGAAGAAAAGTTTATGTAATAATCTTTTGTCCAACTCCAATTTTAAATTTATGAAATTTTCTTTTCAAGTATAATGACTGCAGAGCTTAACAGCTTTTATGCTATAGTTTAGTTTTCTCTTTGATGCAGTGTCTGGACATGCTCCTGTTCATTAATCTAAGCATTATCTCATTTTCAGTTCTGCTTATTTCATTATTTTCCCCAAAAAATCAGCAGTGCACTAATCTATGTAGCAATCTTTGACCAGAAACCTTGAAGGAAACCGATTCTCAGGCATCATTCCTGATGAACTAGGGAAATTGATAAACTTAAAGGCGCTGTAAGACCCTTCTTTTCCTTCTCTCATTTAGGTCTGTCCATATGAGTTGTGATTCCTGGGGGATAAATAGATACAATATCCAATGGAGAAACATGATCTTAATTTCAGGATATTGTCCTCCAACCAACTGGAGGGAGAGCTGCCAGTGTCACTCTCTGGACTTGTAAATTTAGCAGATTTGTAAGTACATGGTTATAGCATTATTCTTTTAGCTAGTCATTTTAAGACTATGTTTAACAATATTTTGTTTGCAGTAGGATAAGTGATAACAATCTCAGTGGGCCAATTCCAGATTTTATAGAGAAATGGAAACAACTTACAAAATTGTAAGAATTTCTCTTTTGATAACAGAGGATCTTGAAAGATCTTTGATAGAAGAATAATTTCATAGTCTCAAGTATTTAATTCTTATTTTGGATAATCAATGAAGAGAGCTGCATGCTACCGGTTTAGAGGGTCCCATTCCATTAAGCATATCTCTTCTCAATATGTTAACCGATCTGTGAGTAGAGAACTCTTAAATATACCTAATCTACTTCTTTCTTTTAGTTTATGGATCTCTTTACTGTATGGAGACTTCTCATGTTTGAGTCTCTTATTCAGGAGGATTAGCGACATAAAAGGACCAATGCATGAATTTCCTCCTCTAATTAACATGACAGACCTAGAGAGACTGTAAGTTGCTGGGAGTTTATTCCAAATTATTATTGGCATCCAAGTTTGATGGATCTTTTCTTAGTGCTGTTTAATCATTGGATTCAGGGTACTGAGAAACTGCAACCTTTCGGGAGTAATTCCAGGATATATTTGGAAACTGAAAACTATACAAACATTGTAAGTAGTTCACTTATAATTTGCAAAAATGAGTATTCCTTTGTCTGCATTACGCATTATCCTTACATGTCTGATGTTAAACTTCGTGTCCACATGCAATAGGCTTGAACAGTACTGACAGTCAACTTTGAAACATTTGTACTTATAGCTGGACCTTCCACTTGGCCTTAAAGACTCTTGAGTTATTACAAAGCCGAAGTTCTCATCTTATAAGTAAACACTTCCTTTCTTGTTAAGGTTCTCACAGTTACCTCTTCTGAAAGAAGTACTTGTTGTGGTGAACCATTCCAGAATTCCCAAATGATGGCCTCTAGAGGAGGCTCCTTTTGTAAACCTCAAATCTAATGACTGAACACCTAAAATGTTGAATGATGTCCATCTTATCATACTCCCTCCATTCCAAAATAAATGGTATCATTAGCTTTTCATTTTGTTTCAAAATAATTGGTGTTTTATATAATCAAGAAGACATTAATGATGTTCTTCCAATTTTACCGTTATATAAATAAAGGAAGTTTTACATAACAAAGAAACTACTAAAGAGCTACATCTTTTTCAAGGTATTTATTAAGGATAAGTTAGTAAAAATACATTTTATTTTCTAGGAATGAGTAGTTTCTTAAGGGGTGTGCCCAAGCTAAAAACCTACTTATTTTAGAACGGAGGGAGTATGTGGCTCGCCTAGCCCAAGGGGCTTCAGGCAATACTTGACATTTAAGCCTGAAAGACTTTGGCTTATGATTTTACTTTTCACCTCTTTGGACTTCAACCCAAATTGAGACAAAACGGAATAGAAGTAGTGTATAAGCTGATTATTCTTTCTTCTTCTGGCTTGTCCGTGAATTCTCATTTCCTGCGTTAAAAAGAATGGAACAAGTCAAGGCTGTTCAGTATACAGAACTCACAAGGCATCATAGAGCTATCTTCTTTATATTTTCTAGTGGCAGAGATTTAAAAATCATCAAATTCATATAGGTAAATAATAATGAGAAGCAAAATGCAAAAACAGAATCGAGAAACCCAAAATTCAGGATCGAACACCTTAATACAATTGCCTCTCCAGTCAGCTAGTGAATATTCCCACTTATAACAGCCATAGTTGCTGGCGCTGGAATACAAAGGCCCAGTTTACTAATTTGTGGGGATTCTTTGGAGCTTGATAGCTTTGATTTTGATTAGATAGAAGTTGAATCATGTGTATAACAATCATCATAGATGTGAACCACAATCCATAAACTTTGTGAACCACGGTGAGTAAGTATCTACAGATTGAAGGTGTTGTTGAAAGGAAAAAAAAGAAGTGTTCATCATCCTTACCAATAATTTTTTTAAAAAAAACAGAAGTGTTCATCGTAGCCAACACTTCAATATCAGCTAAACTTTGTTTCCTATTCTTTGCCTTTGATCTGTTTAATACACCGTCATCTCTAAGAAGCTTATTTTTTAAGGTACTATGACATTCATGTAACTCTAGCAAGGTTTATGATATATAAATTGGGACTCCTCCTTTGTGCCTTCATGAGACTCCAGACATAAAATCGCTTCCTATTTCATGAGTTCTATGTTTGAACTTACTGCAGGGATGTTAGTTTCAATAAGCTCATTGGAACGATTCCGGATGACATTAGTGCAAGAAGTATGCTTAAATTTGTGTGAGTTTACTGCCAAGTTTTTTTTTTCTTAAATACTCTTAAGATGGTATTATTATAATTTTCAACAATGCAGGGAAATCTACATTCACTGTTTTCTGCATTATAGTTATTTAACTGTGATAATACTTTAATAGGTTTTTATCTGGTAACATGCTCAGTGGAGATATACCTGCCTCAATCTTGAAGAACGGAATAAATGTGTACGTGTAATATCATCTTTTTTCTCTTTTATAAAATATTTGTGCCTCACATTGTCTTGAAGTGAAAGTGTAGACACTTTCATGGCATCATATATGCAGAGTGATAATTTTTCAGAGACATAGTTAAATTGAAATCTCAGGGAAATTATGGACTTTTATTTAGTATTTCTGTGTGTAGTTCTACAGTTTCTTTGTCTAATGTTAATGGATTGCATTCTTATCATTATAGTACTCTGGATTATGACTTCTAAGAATTCAAATTGCATGTACAGTGATCTTTCCTACAATAACTTTACTTGGCAAGGCCCTGAACAACCAGCTTGTCGGCAAAACATGTCAGTGAATCCTTCTGTTCGTTTCTCATTCATGTTTTTAGTGACAATGTATCATATGGTTCTGATAATTGTTCCCTTGACAGGAATTATTACATAAACCTGTACAGGAGCTCTGCAGTTGCAGGGACTCTGTAAGATGGATCTTCTCATTTTTGTTGTTTCTCATATTAGCTTTTACAGCTAACTAAATGGATGAATGAATGCTTTACTTTGAGATTTGTTTCTTTACTTCTGAGCATATATCTAAGGCCAATCTCTTTTTTGCTTTCTTCTACAGTAAGAACGTTCTTCCGTGTACAGAGGATTTAACTTGTCCAAGATGTAAGTATATTTGTGCTCACTGACATTTTATCAAGTAATACATAAGAAAGAACAATTCTTTTCATACTCGAAACTGCAGTTCTTTTGTGTTTTCTCATCTTCCTTTCCTCCATTTCCAATATTTAAACCAGTTATACAACCAAAGAAGTGTGTGTGGTGGTGGTGTTGGTGGTGGCGATGTGGTGGTCTGGCAGTTAGGAAATTGAAGATGCATGATAAGAGTCTCCTCTTTAAATGATTTTGGAGATATCTGAGAGGAACATAACACGCTGCAGAAAGCAGTCAGAGATGCAAAATGAAGAGCGAAGGAGAGTTGGTGTAAGGAGAAGAGGTTTATGGGATAAATTCATGACTTACACACAGTTCAAGTCTGGCGATGGAAGGATTATAAGATTCTGTTAGATACTTGGCAAGGAAATATATCACTCTGAGAGCAATTCACAAATTTGTTTAATTTTACAGCTTTTCCTTATCTCAGTTTCTAAATGAGTATCGGTGTATGGGACATTAAATTTGGAAGAAATTGCCAGGAATGTTGGGAGACAGCTGGACTATTTTGTTGTCGAATTGGAGGAGAAGGAATGGTTGCAGGAGCAGAGGATTATCTGAGATGGACAATAGGTGAGGGTCTGTTTCTGTAAAAGGAGCATATAAGGCCTTATACCCTTTTCTGGCTGTGTAGACGGTATCATCCATTGGCCACGGGACCTGTAGTGGGAAAAGAGAGCTCATCTACAATTATTGTGCTTTTGGTGCACTGCAGTTTATGAGGCTTGTAATTTATGAAATCACCATATGCAACAGGTGCTACATGTGAGAAATGAAAATGTGGATTATTTGGTTTTACACTCTGCTGTAGCTGATGAGGTTTGTAGTATGTTTTATAGATCCCACCAATTGATTCCCAAATCTCTGACACAATTCTTATTCAGTTGGAAATGGAGAAAGAATAAAGGAACCAACAGAAGTTTCTGGAACATGATTCATCTTTGCGTTATGTGGGCAATCTGGAGAGAGCAGAACATTAGAAGGACACAAAAACTTTAATCCACAGTTAATACACCTGTTTAGCTTTTAGATTTCTGGTGCAAGCTTACTTCCTTTGATGACATAGATGCACTTTTGGAGTTTGTTGACTCTTTACCTTTGAAAAGCGACTATAGCTTTAATTTAATGTAATATTACATGCATCCACTAGATGCACTTTAATCTATAATGTATTATGTCTGTACTAATATCAAAAAGAAGAAAATAAATTATTTAGAAGTGATTCTCCTAACCTACTACACGGGCAGAAAAACATATCAATACATTAAAAAGAATAGCTGACAGATATTGTCTGCAAGTTAGCAAAGAATGTGCTGTCAGTTACAAATATCTCTATTCTGGACCTACACTCTTGAGGTCATGTATCCTACTGAAGGCTTGTTATTAGATTTTCAACAACTGACATTTATATGTATATATGCATTGCAAATTTGGTAGTCTTTGCTGCCTGTGGTAATAAGGGTCTATGTGACAATTGTTTCTAGATATCTCTCTCTAACCATGCTATTCCATTTGGTTACATGGCAGATGGGTGTTCCTTGCATGTGAATTGTGGAGGAAATGATGTTGCTATTACAGAAAACAACAGGCATATTGATTTTGACGGAGATGCTCATGTTGAAGGTGGTTCTGCAAGAAATTTCCGCAGTGACAAGTACTGGGGATTTAGTAGCACCGGAGACTTCATGGATGATGATAATGATCAGAATACACGTTTTATTGAGACTATACCATCAACTGACCTGTCTGAACTGTATAGTAGAGCAAGGGTTTCTCCACTTTCACTTACTTATTTCCATTATTGCTTGGAGAATGGGAGTTACAATGTTAGTCTGCACTTTGCTGAGATAATATTTAAAAACGACAGTACATATAACAGTCTTGGAAGGCGCATCTTTGATATATATATCCAGGTGCTTATCCTGAATGATGAAGTTCCCTTTAGAGTTATTTAGCTGATTCACATTCTTGAATGACCTTTTGATTTTAGGAGAAACTAGTTTGGAAAGACTTTAATATTGAAGAGGAAGCTCTTGGAGTCCTAAGGCCTGTGATCAGATACTTTAATGCTACTGTAACAGATAGTGTCTTGGAGATCCGATTTTATTGGGCTGGCAAGGGCACTGCCCGCATTCCTCTTAGGGGACATTATGGTTCACTCATATCAGCTATCTCAGTTGACTCAAGTATGTATCTACTTACTTTTTATACTTTTGGGTGGATTTACAGGGATTGTTTGACTTCCGACTTATACTTTTTCCTTTATCTTCTTTTTGATAACATACTTTTTCCTTCTCTTCTTTCTACATTTGGTTTTATCTCATGCATGGCATGTGAAGGAAGGTCAATTCATCACTGCACAACTGTGTGTGTATCTATCAATCCCTTTTCGTACTCGAGCCGTTACCCTTAAGTTACTTTATGGTGTATTTGCAGTAACTGTGATGAGCATCATGTTATAGCCTATAGGACCTGTGGGCTCATGATGTAACTCAGTCTTCCTGTTATCTATCTCCTATGTCCGATCTTGTATAGTCTACTGTATTTTACAGAATTCAATTAAAAAATTAGTCGAATGAGTTATTTTATTCGGGGTGCAGTCGATATATGTGAAATGATGTGAATCTTAAAATAGTGTGTTGGTAGTAGTAAATAGTGAGAGGAGTTTATATATCAGTTTGACTTTAGAATTTGTTGATTTTTCCATGTAAGGAAAGAGTTCCATTTTCGGGAAATGGAAAAAACAGATAGTAGGTCAAGACAAATGGAATGAAGTTCAAGAGAAATTGGACAAGAGTAAATCTTTTCTTGTTGTCATGAACTTGCAAGAAAATGAATTTTGGTGTTTCCCTAGCATGTTTCTCATTTTATCCCGCTGTCCTCCTTATCTTTTCAAGAAACTGCTACTTCATTCAAAATTATGGTAAAATAGAAATGGAGAAATATATTCTTATTCATCATTTTAGTGCAATAATTAGCGCTTAAGGAAGTTTCTAAACATGGAGGAAAAATGAATTCACAGCATTTGGCAAGTGGAGATGCCAATAAGGCATGTAAATGGATCCATAGCTTGGATCGAAGTCCTGATCTATGCTTGAGTTAGAGGATGGTTCTGCAGATAGAGGGATTTTATAAAGCATGCCGCTTCTTCAGTCTTTTAAATGAATGATGACCTACATTAATGGTTCTGCTCACTTTGCTGCTCTGATTTACCCTTTTTTCATTTTCTTTTGGACTTTGGTACAGATTTCAAGTTCTGTTCAAACAAGGACAGAAAGACCACAATAATTTATGTTATTGTTGGAGTTTTGGCTGCATGTATCACTTTTTTCCTACTGAGCATTCTTTGGTGGAAAGGCTGTCTATGTAGAGAAAGTAAAAGAAGAGGTGAGCTTGAAAAGTTTCTAAAATTGCAAATTTAAATAGTAGTTATTAATCTACTCTTCGGTGGATTTTGTTGAATGCAATCCATTGTATATTCGAAAGTAATCAAAATACAAACATGCATGATTAATCATATTGAAGGTCTTGAAATCCAAAGTCTTGTTTAATGTAATAGCTTAACACATTGATTGACCTAGGAGATTCATTATTTTATGAAAATCTAGGAGACTCATCATTATTGTATCAAATCTAGAAACACCTTAATTAATGCTTGTTACACATCTTCGTTGTATCAAATCTTACTGGTACATGAATTTTAAGAACAGTAGGTATTTGTGTAAGAGTTTAGGAGCAGTGGGGTTCACCATTTCAAGAAAAAGATAGCCATGTCAATGCTAATGCAATGATAAGAATTTATTTATCACAAGAGAACACAAAATTCTGTAACTCATATCTACCTTATTTTTTGGACAGATCTCAATGGTGTAGAGCTGCAGATGGTTTGTTTTACTCTGAAGCAAATAAAAACTGCCACTAAAAATTTTGATGCTTCAAACAAGATTGGCGAAGGTGGTTTTGGTCCTGTTTACAAGGTATGCTTATAATTGGAGACTAGTGATTTTTCTTTTACTTGTACATCATGTCACATTGTACCTCTGCCTACGAGACTTGGTGCTGTTTCCATAAACATGTAAACCTTCAAATTCTATTTACCCAAACCTTCTGAGTTTGAGCATGGAAATACATATGTGGCTCATAATTCATCTGCCTTTAGCTGCTGCGCACTGGTTCTATCCTCTTACCCCGTGGAATCTAACAACTGATTTCGTGTAGGGTCAATTACTTGATGGTACATTAGTTGCAGTGAAGCAGCTCTCCTCTCAATCAAAGCAAGGCAACCGTGAATTCTTGAATGAGATTAGCACGATATCCTGTTTGCAACACCCCAATTTGGTTAAGCTTCATGGGTGCTGTATTGAAGCAGACCAGTTACTGCTTGTATATGAATACTTAGATAACAATAGCCTTGCGAGCGTGTTGTTTGGTAATTACTCCGTGTCCTCTTTATGTATAGATCTAGTTATCCTCTGGGTCAAGATTTTCAGTGGTGAATTTTCTGGTTCAGAGAACAGCCGATTGAATCTGGATTGGCCCACAAGGTTTAGGATCTGTCTCGGAATAGCAAGAGGTCTAGCTTTTCTACATGAGGAATCAAGCCTAAAAATTGTACATCGGGACATCAAAGCTACCAATGTGCTTCTGGATGGACAGCTCAATCCCAAAATCTCCGACTTTGGACTAGCTAGACTCACTGAAGATGAGAAGACCCATATTAGTACTCGAGTTGCTGGAACAATGTAAGGTCACTACTTTTCCAGCTAGAAGTCTAAAGTATTTTACGTTGACAAACCTTCTAATCTTAACACTTGCAGAGGATACATGGCACCAGAATACGCACTCTGGGGTTATTTGACTGACAAGGCAGATGTTTACAGCTTTGGAGTTGTACTTTTGGAAACTGTCAGTGGAAAGAACAACAATAACTACATGCCGAGCCACACTAGCATTTGTCTCTTAGATTGGGTATAAATCTGATCCCTGTTTGCTTGTTGTATCTCTCTTATCAAGGCTCAGCTTGAATGTTTCGATGGCAATATAAAGATCTTCCAATTCTTTCTTCATTTTTCACTCTTCCATTGAAATTACTGGCTGTGCCTGAAAAGCTACACTGTTACAGGCCTGTCACTTGCATCTAAGTGGGAGTATAGAGGAGCTCATAGATCAGAGATTGGGGTCTGATATTAATAAACAAGAAGTGGAAAAAATAGTAAAAGTGGCACTCTTGTGCACTAGTGCCACTCCCTCACTCAGGCCTATCATGTCCGAGGTAGTGTCTATGCTTGAAGGACGAATCGCTATTCCAGATGAAATTCCAGAGGCAAGTACTTATTCCAATGATCTGAGGTTTAAAGCCATGAAAGATTTTCATCAAGAGAGGCAAAATCAGAAGCTAATTCAAACCCAAACTCAAAACACCATAACTATTCGAACTGACATGGGTTCTTCTTCTGCATCTACAACTAATATGTTCGATTAAGTTCAGTTTCAAGATCAAACAGACACGTAATGTCATTTCATCCATGGTAAGCCTGGCTCATTCTAACTTGTGTTCTCGAGGGTGCTAGACCACCTCCATGTGTATTTATACTTGTAATTAAGCAATTTGTTCAATTTTTTTTGTAGCAGGCTTGCTGTGTAATGTAAATACATGTTTCAGCTTTGAGGCTAAGGATGCAACATTTGTTTCTTCTGCTGCTGCACTTTTGAAACATAACTTTTTGTTACACTTTTTTCTCCACTATGTTTCTCGAACTCTCCAAAACTTTGTCAAATCATCCGACACGCACTCGTTGATATTTTTAAAGTGTCCCGAGAAACATAATCTAAATTCTCATTTCTGATCACACCATCAATACCAGTTATCCCGTTGTCCCTTATAAACCTACCATCAGTACCAACATTTCAGTCAGTCATTAGAAGGTTTCTGCCATGTAACCAACCTCCATGTTTGAATAGGGATCTTGGTATAAAATTGAAAAGGAAAAAAAAAAGTCATAAGAAGAAAAAGATAAAATGCTTTTCGAATATTATTGGTCGTTTCGAACAACACATACATACCAGTGTAGTACCACAAAGAGAAACTGTCACAAATAGAGCTAGAGTTCTATTTACGACAGAATGCACTAACTTTGGATCCCTCAGCCCTACCTAGCTGGCCAGCCTACCCTGCCAGCTAGGTATAAAATTAATGAATAATTTTTCATGTTGTATCTATTTTACCCTTGCTATACTATTCATTTTTTCAATTTTTAGATGACTTATATTTAATAAGGCTGGCCAGCCTACCCTGCCAGGCAACATGGATTAGATTGGAGTAAACAAAACGTGATGAACGTAAATACTAATCATTTAATAATATTATACTAATTGTTTTGTTAACGTAGTAAACAAAAAGATAACCAACTGAAGCAATATTTGATGATATGCATGTTTTAGATATTTGTTTAACGAAAAGTCAAAGTTCTCCAAATGAAAAGTTTCACACTGTTGTTTTATGATAGTGGCCAAGTTTTTAAAAGACGAAATATATACTTTTTAAATTTCTGAATGCACTTATTTTTTTAAGAATAAAAGTGCTTGGTAAAAAATCAAACCAAGTATATTTAGGTAGTGTCTATTTTTTAATACGTAAAAGCTATTTTTAAAAATTATCACTCAAATAGAATTGCTGTTTTTTCAAAATATTTTTGATAAGTTGATCTTGACCATTTGACACTATAATGATATGTTTATTATGCGAATTTAACTAAGACATTTTCTTTTATTTCGTAAAGATAATTCACCTTCATTTTTCTTTAATATATATTATATGAAAAAATAGTTTCTTCTTTTAAAATATGAAGACATGATTGATTTTTATTTGAATGTCAAGTGTTAAAATTATTTTAGTAGCTACTAAAAAGTAGTCTTAAAAATTGGTCTCTTGAAAATCATAGTCAGACATTCAAAACAGGCAACTCACGAAATCAAAAAAGAGAGAGAAATAATAAAAGTCAAAAAGCAAAAAGAGATGAAAGGACACAAGTTGAATAATAATTATAAACATGAACTTAGTGTCTTAATTAAGTAAGTTTAACTAAATGATGTAAAAGTAGGTACAGCTGCCAGCTGGCATGCTTATCTTATTTTATCATAATAGTGTTATTAGTGTGAAACCAATTTCTAGAGTGGCTTCATGCATGCTCCCTTTATTCATATTATTTGATTCTACTTGGCCTGTTTACGCTCAAATTATTTTATTAATGATATTTTAGAATTATAAATTTAATTATTAGTAGTTCTTATTTAATACTAAGAATTAGAATACCATAAAAAAGTGATAAAATTATTTTGATTAGATAGATAAATAAAAATATCTATTTTTGACGGATTAAGTATAATGACAAAAAAAAAGAAAAAAAAAAGAGAAAGTATAATGACACGTAGACTGTTATAATACTTCCTCTTTTTTCCCACGTGCACCTTTTAATTTTGTGTCGGTATGACTTTTTTACATTTGTCAAAACAGGATAAATGAAATATTTTATGGAAAAATAAGCTAAACTTTTGTTACTTTTTCGTGTTCAATACTAAAATGAAAAATATTATCTAAAAACTATTGTACATAATTTAAATAAATATTATGAAGGTAGAGTATGGGGTAGGGCGGGACGGGGCCTATCGGGATGGGGATGAGGGGTTAAATGAGGTGGAGTGAATGTATCGAAATGTCATTTGAATTTGTGGTCTTAATCATGTTACGTAGGTTGTCCAAAAGTAATAAAATGTTTTTAAAAAAAAATTAAAATGGACTAAAAAAAGTAAGATAAAATATCTATTTCAATTTATATGGTACCATTCAAATTTTGAGATTCTAACAATTTAATTTTTGATCGTAAGTTCAAGCATGAACATGTTGAATTTTTTGAAAACTACTACATAGTAAGTCACAATAATTATAACTCAGATTATTTTTAAAAATAATAATTAATAAAAACTTATTTGAATGAAATATGTCATGTAAATTGTAATTATTTAGTATTAAAATTATCTGCCATGCCATGTGGAACCTAATTATTTAAATATGGTAGTAAAAGTAACTTTATGTAGAAGGAAAGAGCATTTTCATTTTAAATTCTCCTTCTCAGGTACACAGGATTTTGTGTCACAAAAACCATAAACAAACAAACAAACATATAGTATACTACTCCCTCCGTTTTCGATGTAAGTTTTACATTTGGATTATAAATTTTCAATTTCATTTTACTACTTTTTTACCTTTATATATATTTGTTTAGTGAAGCTGTATTTTCTTATTGCAAAAGTGAATTTTATGAATTGAAAATTACAAAGCCTTCAATCCTTTGTGATACTGTATAATTACTTCTGGCTATTAGCAACTATAGTTAAAAACTACTACTCCATCCGTCCCATTTTATGTGGCAACAATTGACCGGGCACAGAGTTTAAGAAATAAATGAAGACTTTGAAATGTTTACCAAATTGCCCTCTTAAAAAGTAGACTCAATTTCTCTCTCCTCATAAATGTATTTGAGTATTATTTTAAGATTAAATGGGATCAATAAAAATAAAAAAAGAATTGTACCTTTAAATACTTTCCATTTAAGGAAATGTGACATTTTTTTTTGAGACCGATCAAAAAGGAAATGTTGCCACATAAAATGGGACAGAGGGAGTATAAAATAGAGAAGTAATAAAAAAGGTTCAGCATCATTGCCCCCATAGGCCATAAGTTCAAATCATTTTCAGCAACTTGTCTTCTTCTCCTCAAATCTATCATCTCCATTTTTTTTAACAATTTTTTCCTCAGAGCAACTTCATTTTCTCAGAAAAAAGACCTAAAAAAATCTCTTAAATTTTCATATGATTAGTACTCAAGTTTTTGAAGTTTAAGGGACCATGCCAAGAATCTTCAGTTTCTTTCTCATCTTCTTCACCATAGTTATTTGTTTTACAGCAGGCAACATTGAAGCACAAACTGGTCAACTTCCAAAAGATGAAGGTAAAAAGATTTGAACTTTTTCATTTTGTAGTTAATGTATGTGAAAGAAAGTTGATGCCCATTTACTTTGATTGGCAGTGAAAGCTCTTAGAGAAATAGCTGATCAATTGGGGAAAAAAGATTGGGATTTTAAGCTAAACCCTTGTGATGGGAACTCAAATTGGAGCACACCCAAAAGGAAAGATATGCCTTTGTATAACAATACCCTAGAATGCAATTGCACTTTCCCTGATAATCTTTGTCATGTGGAAAATATGTAAGTCCCTCTCTCAAATGAATGTGTTTTGTTAAGTAGTTGATGAAGTTATGAAAATTGATGGGTTAATGTAGTTCTGCTTCTGCCTAATTTAAAGTTGTTTCAGTTTAGAACCTTTACTGAATTTCTATTTAGAAGAAAATTCTTGACTTATGTTTGGTTTTAAATGTCCAGATTAAACTGCTAAGACCAAATTTTAGTTATATTGAGGACTTATTAGGATGTGGTTGGTATGAAGGAAAACATTTTCTAAAATATGTTTTTTCAATTTTCCTATGTTTGGTTGGTTAGCAATTTTCGGAGAAGATTTTTTCTAGGAAAACAAGTTTGTTAAAAATAAGGAAAATGTCTTTGGTAATGGAACTGAGGAAAACAAGTTCCATAGTGGCATTCCACATTGATTGTCTTCTCCCACCCTCTAATACATCCTACCCTCACCCCCATCCCTCATAGTATTTGCGTAAACTAATTACAAATGTTTTTGGGATAATATTTTTTTCACGTACTTACCAAACACCACAATATAAGTAAGAATCCCACTTATAAACACACCCTTGGTTTGGATTACTTCTACTGTTTTGGTTGATCTCTCGAATAAATAAAAGTTGTTAGATGATACTAGGTATAAGCGTATAATAGATTGGTATTAGATTTATTGTTAGAATACCATGTCTTCATCTAAATATTCAAATTTCACATTGATGAACATGGCTATTTCTGGAATTATTTATCTAATTGCCACTTCATTGCATTATGAAACTGATTGAGATTATATAAACTGGACAGGATTAATTCTAATATCCAGCGATTCTGACAGCGACTGCTCTAATTGCTAACAGATTTCTCAAAGGACAGAATCTTTCAGGTGTCCTCCCTGCATCGCTGGCGAAGTTACCATATCTGAAGAAAATGTACACTGAGCATCCAGAACAATTGTTAGAAAATCAGTTTGAATTTTACTTATTTTTAAAATCATTATGATTTTACCTTTTTTTCAGTGATCTCAACCGCAACTACTTAAGTGGTACAATTCCGCCTGAATGGGCGTCTACCAAGTTGGAACTCATGTGAGGCAATTTATTCATATACATTGTTAAAATTTAACCTTTGATTTAGGGCTTCTCATGAATTTGAAGTTTTCCAGGGCTATTTCTAATAATCGGTTATCTGGGCATGTCCCAGAGTACATAGGAAATATGACCTTGCTTGTGAGATTGTAAGTTCCCTTGCTTTCACTTTTCTCGGACTGACTGACTGTACATGACTACTTGAAATATTCTGAAGTCATCATAATTTTTCAGGAGTTTGGAGACTAACTTGTTTAATGGATCGTTACCAGCAGAAGTAGGGAATCTGGTCAATTTACAGATGCTGTAAGTCTTCCTTACTCTTCTATTTCCTAACTGATTTTC